GACCCGACACATCATCTCAAACAGACAAAACCGTCAGGTACCTATCTTCCACCCTCAGCTGCCTGATAAGCAAGCGCCTGTCTTTGTCCCGCCGTGCGGTCATCGAGCGGGTCCTGCATCTTGTGTCTTGGTCTCACGGCCCCCTCCCACCACCCGAACTCAACCTCTCACCACCCAATACCTTGGCTCTGAGCATGTCGGACAAGGCTGACGCAGAGACTTGATTCAGCTTCACCGCATCACCCGCATTCTCCGATTAAGCCCACCAACGTGCGCTCCCGATAGCAGCACCAATTCGTCATCGAGCCAACCGAGATCGCCGACTGCTGCTGATTGACGATAATTGCCAGTGACAAACCGCCTTCCTTTTCAACCCGACCGAATTCATCTCGCATAGCCCAGCTCCCAGGCCACCCGCCTCCCGTTCCCGAAAACGGACGCCTCCGCTGGTCGCCGCTCCTCCCCCTCCACCCGCTTCCTGTCCGTCCTAGATCACATCTTCTACCCTCCCTAGGACCAGCCGGACAGGCATAGCGACGCAAATCATTCGTTACCTCGCAGTGCTCTCTGATTCTGCATCATGGGCAACCAGCCTTCCAAGGATAAGGGCTCCAAGGATGGGCCTGACGACTTCAAGTCGTACCCGTCCTTCTCCCGATCCGACACGAAAGAGTCATCGCGCTCATTCCGGTCTCTGCGCTCCAAGATTACCAACAAGTCCACCGACAGCCCCCGAGCTTCCATGTCCGCCAATAACGACGACGCAGCTTCGGTCAAGTCAGGCAAGAGCGGCCGGTCGGCCACGTCCCGCAGCCGCCACGACTCCATCTCGTCGCCCATGAGCCCTGGTGGCGGCGGCGCCCTGAGCGAGCTCGACTCGCCCGTCGACGACCTCCAACCACCCCCGTCCCCCGTGCACCACACCCAAAAGGGCTTCCACGACGTCAGTGCGGCCCAGGCTTCCGGTGAGGTCGATCACGTCTCCGATCAGCCGCCCTGCGCCAGCGCCAGCCTCAACACCCATCTCCAAGCGCCTGGCAAGTCCATCCTCAGCAAGACCGATGGCGAGATCCCCATTTCCGAGGCTGCGGTCGACGACAACACCCCGCAGGCCGATGCGCCTACGGGCGTCGCCATGGGCGAGATCAAAGACATGGATCTCGACGACTACATCAAGCGCTTGCTGGACGCAGCCTACGCCGGCAAGGTGACCAAGGGAGTCTGCCTTAAGAATGCCGAGATTGTCGCCATTTGCCAACGCGCTCGCGAGGTGCTCCTGACGCAGCCCGCGCTGCTCGAGCTCGACGCCCCCGTCAAGATTGTCGGCGATGTCCACGGCCAGTACACCGACCTCATCCGCATGTTCGAGATGTGCGGCTTCCCGCCGTCTTCAAACTACCTCTTCCTCGGCGATTACGTCGACCGCGGCAAGCAGTCGCTCGAGACGATTCTGCTGCTTCTCTGCTACAAAGTCAAGTTCCCCGACAACTTTTTCCTCCTGCGCGGCAACCACGAGTGCGCCAACGTCACGCGCGTCTACGGCTTCTACGACGAATGCAAACGCAGGTGCAACGTCAAGATCTGGAAGACGTTCATCGACTGCTTCAACACGCTGCCCATTGCTGCCGTTGTCGCCGGCAAGATCTTCTGCGTGCACGGTGGTCTCTCGCCGGCACTGAATCACATGGATGACATCCGGGGCATCGCCCGACCAACCGACATTCCCGACTACGGTCTTCTCAACGATTTGGTGTGGGCTGACCCTGCCGAGATGGATAGCGACTGGGAAGCGAACGAGCGCGGCGTCAGTTATTGTTTTGGCAAGACGGTCATTGAAGATTTCCTGGCCAAGCACGACTTTGATCTGATCTGCCGCGCGCACATGGTCGTCGAAGACGGCTACGAGTTCTTCACAGACAGACTTTTGGTGACGGTTTTCAGTGCTCCCAACGTAAGTGTTCCCCGCACGCCAAGGCAGGCACGCAGGCAGGCAGGCGAATCGGTAGGCTGACTCGTGAACTTTTAGTACTGCGGCGAGTTTGACAACTGGGGCGCCGTCATGTCCGTGTCATCCGAGTTGCTCTGCAGTTTTGAACTGCTCAAGCCGCTCGATTCGAGCGCTCTCAAGAGCCACATCAAGAAGGGGCGGAACAAGCGTCAGAGCATGCTCAACAGTCCTGTAAGTGGCGACACCCGGCCAACTCTTCCGGCGGCTGAATACTGATGTGAATTGTTTAGCCGGCGCGCATCCAAGCCCAGAGCATGTAAAGAGCAGAACGACACGAGAAGGCGATGAACACGGAGATAAAGAAGACGCTGCGACGACGCAGAATCAACATACAACAGCACTATTACTTTGATGCGGCTGAACAAGCCCAAAACCACATTGGCGAAACCGAGCTTACTGTTCCTCGAGCGCCCACGGCCGGTGGAATTCCCCGGGTGGCGGATCAACGATGGACGGCCAAGACACCGAAACGTGCAGTCTGCCTGCCTGTGGTGTAAAAACCATCCGAAGACGAGGTTGGGACACCGAGTCTATTCGGCTTCGGGGTAGGCGCTGACTACGCATTGCTCGGCTCAATGTGGTTGGTGAAGGAAGGATATGAAGAGGGAACTCTCGATTACGGTCACTCGTAGCGACTGGCACGGATGGTCCGGAAGGATCATGATTTCAGCCATCATGATCTGGCCAGCCGTGCGTTTCGCGGAGTCCGACCTACGGCCGAGTCAATGGCAGGACAGGAGGACTGAGAAGAGTCCGGCGCAGTGTGTTTCAAGGTGTACAATCATGGCTTCTTTCAACTCTGGGCAATGGCTCGGCTTCCAAACAGCTGGGCACGTACCGCCACATTACGATGAGCTTAGCACCGCCGGTTGCAGTACCAGCCTTGGTGTTAATACATATGGGTATTGACTGAATGTGTGCGCCGTGAAGGTTCTGTTCTGGAATTTGTTTGTGTGCTGCGCGCAGAGTCATCGTTGTCTCGAGCATGTCTTGGGCTTGCCAAGAATCCATCAAAGTGACAGATGCGGCGTGTGTGAGAGCTGTCAGACACTGACTTGACTGAGGCATATGTACCTACCTAGGTACCTAGATAGTAGATAGGTAGGGCAGACCGCCATCGGCAGGGACCACCCATCCATCCTTACTGGTTGGTCCGTGCGCCTGCCCCGCCATCGATCCCGCCGATGGAAACTGTCCCCCACCTTGCCCTTGCCCACCTTGCCCACCTCACCTGCCTGCCGGGCTTTCATCACCAGCTCTTCGGCGTCTGCAGCCGAGGATTTTCCATGTCGTGACGACCAGTGTCTGTCTCTCAGCGTGTGATCTTTTTGCGTACGGTCCCGTCGCTTGGTTCTTCTGTCGCAGATCCGCAGGAAACCAGAGGTATGAGATTGCCTGCTCGCTGATTGCCCGTTTCTCTCTTTTTTGCGTCTTGCCTAATAGCGTTCAGGTCCCAATTCAGTGAAGAGCGGCGGTTGAAAATTCTCATCCACGAGGCGGCCGCTTGATACGCTTTCAACCATCTGCACACATCGCCACCCACAGACGTCTTCAGGCCACAGCTCCAAACATGGAACCCTCCGCCCGTGAGCAGTCGCCCGACGAGCGAGCTGCAAAGCGCGTCAAGATCGACGCTTTGCCGTCTGTCGAGAGTGAGACGCCGAGCGGTCAGAATGGGAGTCACGCCAATGGGGGAGAGCAGGCTGCCGAGAAGCCCCAGGGCGGAGATGTCGCCATGGCTGATGCCCCCAAGGGCGAATCGGGCCAGGACGGCCCCGTCCCCGAGGTGAAGAAGGATGCTCGGGATCGCAATGCTGCCATTGCCCCTATCAAGGCTGAGTGAGTCCCCCCCCCCCTTGCGGGCTCTTGCTTGGGTGCGTCGTGGACTAATCCGGCCAGGTTCCTGATCCCGCGCTCGGAGATTGAGAAGCAGCAGGAGGTTCCCATCGACGATGATGCTGCTGAGGGACGCGGCCAGGACCAGGAGCAGCAGGAGCGTGGGGATCACCCCCGTCGCGACACGCGGGACAAACGCGACAAGAAGAAGGCCAAGGGACAGAACAAGGAGCGCACGTTTGGCAACTTTGACGACACGTTTCGCCTGTGCAACAGCCGCGCCTATTATCCTGAGTTTTCGCCGCGCGAGTGCCGCTATGGAGACCGCTGCCAGCTGTCCCACGATCTGCGCAAGTACATGGAGGAGGGTCGTCGTGGCGATGTTGAGACTTTTGGCGGCAAATGCCCCGTTTTCGAGAGCCATGGTCGCTGCCCTTCGGGCTGGAAGTGTCGCTTCGTCAGGAGCCACATGAAGGGAGGTCGAGCGGGAGGATGGCCGTAAGGAGCTGGTGCTGCTTGGCGCCTCTGATGGCACTGATGAGAACCCTGAGGATGCTCGCCTTGGCAGCGTCAATGTTATCAACAACAAGGTCAAGATTGATGTGAGCCGTCGCCGCGTCAACATGGAGGAGGTCGACAAGTACATCTCTTGGATGAACCACGAGACCAAGCTGACCGACGAACTTCACCACCGTCGTAACCGCCAGACCACCGAAGACAGCGAAGACCTCCGTGCTCAGTACAGGGAGGCACCATTGAAGCCCTCTGAGAAGCGCAAGCTGTACTTTGGACGCGATACGCCCGCCCTGGCGCCTCTTACCACGCAGGGCAACCTCCCGTTTCGGCGTCTCGCCGTTGAGCTCGGCGCTGAGCTGACCTACTCTGAAATGGCCATGGGCCTGCCTCTCATTCAGGGCACAAAGGCTGACTGGACGCTCCTCAAGGCCCACGAGTCTGAGCTCGTCCCGCCCAAAGCTGGTGGTCCCATTGTCCAGGGCTACGATAACGCCAAGGATATCAAGTTCGGCGCTCAAATCTCCGCTAACCAGCCCTGGGTTGCGGTGAAGGCTGCCGAGTGCCTCAAGCGTTTCGTCCCTCACCTGCGTGTCATTGACCTCAACTGCGGCTGCCCAATCGACATGCTTTTCAAGGCCGGTGGCGGCTCCGCCCTCCTCGAGGCTCACGGCAAGCTTGAGCGCATGGTTCGCGGCATGAACACCGTTTCGGGGGAAATTCCTGTGACCGTCAAAATCCGCACTGGTGTCCGCAGCAATCGCCCTACTGCCACGTCCATCATCAACAAACTGGCATTTGGCGCTCGCGAGCACCGTGAACGCCTTGGCGCACCTGGCTGTGCCGCCATTACCCTCCACGGCCGCAGCCGCGAGCAGCGCTACACGCGCAGGGCTGACTGGAGCTACGTCGCCGAATGTGCTGCCCTGATCAAGAGCTACAACGAGACGAAGGACGCCGACACTGACACGATTCGCGAGCCCGATGCCTCCACTCTGCCCAACTCCAAGGACGGCAAGATGTACTTTCTCGGCAACGGTGACTGCTACTCACACGTCGAGTACTTTGACCACATTGACAACGCCGGCGTTGACAGCGTCATGATTGGCCGTGGCGCCCTCGTCAAGCCCTGGCTCTTCGAGGAGATTGAAAAGGGCCAGTACCTCGACAAGACGGCCACCGAGCGCCTCGGCTACATTGAAAAGTTTGTTCGCTACGGTCTCGAGGCCTGGGGCTCCGACGAGCTCGGCATCGGCTTCACCCGGCGCTTCCTGCTCGAGTGGATGAGCTTTACGCACCGCTACGTCCCGCTCGGCATATTGGAGCACCTGCCTCCTTCGCTCAACGACCGCCCGCCCGCGTTCCGGGGACGGAATGAGATGGAGACCCTGCTTGCGAGCAACAACTACAAGGATTGGATCAAGATCAGGTAGGTTTCTTGTGAGATGCGGCTTTGTCGTGAGGATCGTGCTGACTTTTGCTTGCAGTGAAATGTACCTTGGCCCTTGCCACCCAGGCTTCACCTTTCAACCGAAGCACAAGTCGAACGCCTACGAGGCCGAGGGTTAGGTGGTCTTTGCGGGACATATTGATGCGCTGGTGTGAGGGGGGGGCCTGCTAAGGACAGGTGTATGAGTAACGGCGGGCGGTAGAGGACATGGAAAAGCATTTGCATTATTGAGAAAGGTAGCATGAGCTTGCATGTTGCTAAGAAGGTGAATAAGCTGTCGCCGACAGATTTACCATTCTAGGGTTGGAAAGAAGCAGTGCTAGGCTCATCGTGACCTCCTTTGCTTGGTGAACGACAGCCAAAGCCAATCCTCGGACTGTTGGTGGTTCCTTCGGAAGATTGATTGTACCACGCGAAAGACAGTAACTCGATTATCGATATCATGACGAGCCTGCCTCTGTAGTGTTGATTTGCAAGCTGTTCCTTCTGTGATTGGGGTGATAAGGAGGCTTCAGAATAAGTTATTCGAGCTCGGGGAGCGACACCTGTAAAGACCAGACCCTGCCCGATCTGGCAGTGATATAGATGAGACCTTTCAAGGAATTTATGGCGACCGCTTCCTGTGAGTCATGTGGTCTATATTCGGATGGGATCCGCAGACAAGCGACGTCGTCTTTGAGAATCCATCCATCATGGTACTTCAGTGATCTCTGACCCATGATCGACCTCAGGGACGTAATATCGATTTTTATCATTCCGTATCTTGTGGTGATATTTATGAACTCCTTTTGACTGGAGAGTCCGGCGGTACTCAGGACGTTGTCGTCCCTCTCAATAGTTCGGAGAAAAGTCATCCTCGAGATGTCCCAAATGGCAATGTCTCCTAGGGTGTCGGCAGTTATGAGAAAATTATTGTCTTTGGAAAACGCTAGATTCTCTTGATCGTATCGAAGCGATTGGGCATCGTCTGATTGAAACTCGAAACGTAAAACACTTTTTCCTTCCTGCCATTTCAAAATGACAGGAGGCGCTCCCCAATGGGTCAAAGCCATGATCTCATTGTCATTCGAGAAAAGCAAACGAGATCCCTCCAAGTAGTTGGATCCTGGTATTTCGAAGCTGGCAATACATTTGGCAGTAGGAAGGTCCCAAATCGTCAGTTTTGCCTTAGATGTTGCCAACGCGAGCAACAGCTTGTTTGGCGAGAAGACCATCAGATTCGAGATCCCGCAACCCTGTTCTTGACAGTATAAGGTTTTCTGAATACTGCGAGTGTCGTGGTCCCAGATTCTGATAGTAAGGTCGCTAGACAATTCAGCTACTAGCGTAGCATCGGCTGAGATGCCGAGAGATATCGTGGGTCCATGCTTGTCATTGTTCGCTTCATACCCTAGCTCAAGTGCTGCGGCCCTTTGTGTGTCTCTTGTTTCGTGATCTACTTGTACGTTAGATCTTGGATTTAGCCTAAGTAATGAAGGAAGTAGAGTACCAAGTAGCAAATCAAAGACTGAAAGAATTGGAAAGCTGGCAGACGATAACCATCTTCCATCATTCGAAAGTGCAAAACGCCTCGATACACCAATAAATGATGAAATGGCATCGACGAGTTTTATTGGCCCGTTAGTCAAGTTCTCGAGATCGTTAACACTGATGTCAGTGTCAGCGCTCCTTAAACTCGTCAAGATTTCCAAGGTTGCGTGGCGACTGCGAATCGGAACCAGCACCACTTGTTGGCAGGGATTTCCATCTGAGAGAGTTGTTGGCCGGATTGCTATGCTCCACTGGCCCTTTTCACTCACACGAGTCCCAGTATTCAAGTTATAGATTACGAGTGCCTCTGAACGCAATCGTAGTAGTAGTTCATGGCGGCTAGTCAGTGCGAATGCCAAGGTTCCTCCATAGTGAAGTTCATTGAGGGTTTGGAGGCAACTCTTAGTCGCCGGGTCAAAAACCCTGATGTGACTCTCAGTGTCAAATATAGCTAGTCGAATCTTTCCATTGTCTGAGGCGAAAGCAATGTCACGATCGTCAGCAATGATAGGACACGTCCACAAGCATTCCTCAGTCGTTGTGTCCCACACTTTGACAGATCCATCTTGAGACCTGGAAGCTACGAGATCGTTTGCGGCGATAGCAATCGATTTGACAGCATCTTTGTGGCCTAAGAGTGTTTTCAGACACATTCCGCTGGGGAGGTCCCAGACCTTGATGGTCGTGTCCGAGGAACAGGTGATGAGGTTTCCATTGGGCGCCAAGGCACACTGCCAGACGATGTCTCGGTGCCCTTCAAGGACCTGAAGACATTGATATGTGTCGGGGTCCACCACCGTGATTGTACCATCAAGTTCGCCAATGGCCAGGTGGTTGTCCGCGGTAAACGTGGCTGAGGCAGCTAACCCACCATGGAATGATCGGAGTTGCCTGTTCCAGGATGTATCGATGTGGCGCACCTCGCTAATCCATTTTGGACGCCGAGCCTGAAATGTGTTTCTGACGATACTAGACAATGGTGCAAAGGTAAGGCAGGAGGCATACAGCTGTAATGGGGTCTCTATGATCGCAGACCTGAAGTACCCAATGAATTGGCCTGCGTCCGTCACGAACGACTTGACTTGCAAGCACTGGCCAATCAATATCAGCTTCACGCCTGAACTAGGCCCAGGCATGGTGACTTACTGTGGTTCGTTCTTGAAGTTCATGTATTTGTGAGACACCTGTGTCAAGTCGATTCAGGAGACTCAACGCTTCTAACCAATGAAGCAAGTGGGTGCAAAGAAACGAGTAGACCGCGTCTTGATCGTTGATCAAGTCTTGGCTGTAGATAAAGTGATCTGCCCAGTGTAGGCAGGCATATTGGACTGCCGGGGGCAGACACTCATCAATCTTTGTCTGTGGAACAGCTCTTTGGATCGTGCCAGGATGCGAGAGACTGCAGATGTCCTGTCTCAGGGACTGGCCATCAGAAAGTAGTCGAAGACAGTCACTTGCAACCCTTCTTTGCGCTTCTTTTTCATCCACGTGAAACTCAAGGGCGCCGCGCTTCGAATCGACAAGATAGTCGCGGAAAGACAAGTGAAATAGTTTGATTCGCTTCACACGACTGAGTGGAATATCCAGCGCAGAATGTAAATAATCAAGCAAACCATCGAAATAATAAGGTGGTTTAGACAAGAGACATTCGAGCGAAGTGGTGTCGAGAGGCTCAGCTAAAACGATAATAGTGCCGACAATCTCGTGAAATCGTTTGATGATGGCTTCTTTTTCAGGTTCGTCGAGGCCGTCGATTAGCTGTGTCAGAATAGGTCGGTAGGTAAAATGTAGTCTCGACCCTCCTATATGCTCCGTCCAGCGTCTCAGTCGGCCTTGAGGTCCGCCCGGGATGCGTTTATCTTCGATGAAGCGACAGGCAGTCGCTGCATATATGAACAACGGGACAGACATTTTGAGCAGGAGATTGAAGTCCTCGCCCTGTGGCCAACCAGGAGGCAATTGTGCAAGACTCCGAATGGCTTCTAACCGTACAAGCAAGAAGCGTTCGATATCCTGCTCAACAGAGGGATCAGAGACCTCTTCCAGTTTAAGCTCATCAACTATTGACTGGATGCTCTTAAAGCCTTCTCGAATTGGCGGTTCGTTCCTGCTTGTGATGAAGAAGTTCAGAGGGATTGACGTGATTTTCTTGATATGTGAGAGCTGGGTGATGAGGTCTTTGATATCGTTCTCTCCATCGCACTCATCCAGAGCGTCAATAACAACAGTCATTGGAGATGCGACGGCGACGTTTTCCAAAGGCTTGAGGACGAGCAATCTGAACTGTTCTCCCAGTGGCTTACTCGCGATATCGGGATTCGCTTCAATGGTATGTCGCATCTGAGCAGCAGCCGCAGGAAAGCTGCTCACGAGCTGGGCGGCGATGGCCGGAAAGAAGAGGCGGGCATTGCCGCGATCACCCTCGCCCCTTTTGAAGAAGAAACTGGCAGCTAGAAGCCCCGCTGCAGCCCGTTCCCGAGCGACAGACTGGGCAATTGTTGATTTACCGGTGCCAGCCTTGCCGTGTAACCAGCAAAGGGGTTCACGTTCGGGATCGCGCAGCCATTCTCTGATATCGCCAAGAAGTTCAATGCGCGTGCCAGCAAGGCACGCGTCAGCTCCGTTCTCCGCATCGTCGAATGCGGCCCCTGGTACGCAGGGGAGCTTTTCTTTGACGAACAGCTGGCTCTCATTCAGTTTAGGAGTGGCATTACTACTCAGTTAGTTGGTGTTTAGATCTTGCATGGGCGTAGGCTTCTTACGGTATGAGTCGTTTGACTTGTCGATGGAGTTCGACGTAAAGGGGGTCGGACTTGTTCCGGCATTTATTCAGGCCAGAATGATCCGTGTCGATGAGGTATTCTGTTGGACCATGTATGCCAAGAGCTGAGTCGCGATTGACAACCTAGGTGTTTACTCCATCAGTCGAGGACACTCATCATCAATGCATGGTCGGTAAACTTACCAACCCAAAGGAGAGCCAGCCAAGTGTCAAAGGCTTGGCCTCGCACAAAGCCAGCAGCTCGGTTTTGCCCCGCCGGGCATCTTTCAGTTTGATCAAGCTGTTGAATCGTCTCTCCAGATCCAAAAGTTGACCGTTTCTATGCCCCAGCATGAGGAGAAGGGTGTTGCTGGAACCCAGCACGCTGGTCATAGCCGTAACGGTGGCACCGATGACTGATAGCGACGATCCTAGGTGGGGAGTTCCAAGAAACATAATGGCATGGGTGTTGTCAATTATTTCGGATGACCTCTCCCCGTGTGCGCACAGGGCCTGTGCCGTTAGCTCATGACAGCGGTCTTGGATGCAGACACTGTACCTCTTTGATGATGATACCTCCGAAGCTGTGGCCGATGAACACAATGGGCAAGCACTGAGCTCCAGTTAGCCACGGCGCGTGATATGCTGTATATCAGGGTGTTCACACCAAATGCTTTGAAAGATGTTCCGTAAGCTCGGCAATCAGCTGCTCGCCAATTTGTCGCGCGGTCTTGATGGGTGCGTTGATCATCCAGTCAGAATTGTGTGCGTGCAATAGAATCCTCGCTTCAGGGAAATCCTCCTTCAAGAAATGCCTCAACAGGTGTACAGGTTGTGTCTTTGCGGCAGAATCTTTAGATCGAGGGGGCAACGCTTCCCATGTTCGTTCGGGGTGTGTGCCGAGGCCGTGAACGGCGACGATCCTGGTTCAGTTAGAACGGGTAATCTTTTGAAAAGGAGAACATAGGAGCCACGAACACAAACTTGGCGTTCTCTGGGTTGGAAATGATGTAGAGGCCATTCGGACGTGCATCCTGGCTCCGACGACGAGCCTTCTTCAGCTTGGTGTAGATGCAGTGCACCAGGGAGGCGGCAACGCAGAGCGTGGTGAACAGCACGGCCCACAAGAACTTCATGCTGGTGCTTCTGCACACTCTTAGGCGTTGTGATGATATACTGTAGTGGAATGCTCGATGCTCTGCTTATGGTCGGTTTGTGAAAAGAGGAAAGTGTCAGGCTGTGATCGATGCCATCGCGGGGATGAGGTAGCCTGACATGGTCGCCACGAAGCAGTCAGGCTGCAGGCATGCATGAGCTGCGCATGGAGCTATGTGCTGGCAAGGCAGACTTGCAGAGTGTCGTCATTCAGTCATCCTTTCCATGGTCATGAGACCATAGACTGGCTATGCTTTATTAATCAAGATAGACGGGAGGACGAATATCCATCCTGCTTGTTCATTGGATCTCATCTGACATACTACGACTTCCCACCATGCGTTTCGATTTGGAGATAAGGATAAGAGACTGACTATTATTAAATGAAGCCGACTCCTCGAGACGAGGGTAGTATTAGCACGTGATTTGGGTTATATGGATCTGATGAAGAACCCATTGGCGCACTTCTGAAGTTGTTCCGGTACATCCAATCTTCATCAACAACGTCAAGAAGGCACATAGCTAAATCTTGTCGACAATGCTACAGCCATCTTCCTACCTCCCATCATCGACCTCAGTTGATTACCTCGCGGTAGTTCAATTTCGCGGCCTGATGTTACTGGGCGACTCCACCGGACCGGCTCAACCCGGGCATTAAAGCAAGAGGCGGGGAAGATGGCCGGGCCAACTTCAGGGTCACAACACGGAACCAGAGTCCCATGGACCTTATCCGAAGGCGAACAAGGTCCCCCCTTGCCGAGGAGGGGAGGCGTTTGCGGGGACGCTACGCGCCATTCCTCAAGGAGCACATGTTCCCCCACTCTGGTGCACCTAGATGCAGATGGCGACCAGTGTCGGACGACTGCTTGGCCAGAAGAGGAGGCAACGCCCATGTCGATCGGTCTCGAGAGCGGTTGGTCCGATACACCTCGTCGTGGCAGCATACCGATCAGCATTGCGTCGGACTTGTATTGCCTCGCAAGAATCCTGCCGGCGAGCACTAGTGCGTGTAACGTGTGCTTGGATATCGTACCCCTCCCCCGCATCTCGCTCACAAGAGGTTGACAGACGCCTGCGCGGCTTCAGGGTGGATGGCGTCTTGGTTGGCAGCATGGGGTACCCATGGGGCTTGGTATATACTTCAGCCATTGCCCGGCTCTGGGTCCCCTCCTCGACTGGTTGCCCATTGACATGGCACATTGTTTTGTTTTGCCTTGCGACTCATCATGTCAGCCGACAATGATCGCGTGAGCGGGTTGCCGCTCGACAAGACAGACCACACCATCGACATTGAGCAGGATGACAGGAAGAACGAAATCGACGCCGAGGACCAGTTTCCCCCCGAGGGCTGGTTCGAACGTCTCAAGGCTGAGTATACTGGTCAGCACGGGGGCGAGACGCTGCCGGCCGGCTGCGATCCGGATCGCATGGTGGCCGCCATTCTGACCCTCAACGAAGACGAGTCGGTCCAGGTTCTCGAGGATCTCCTCGTCAGCCAGAGAGAGGACTACACCATTGATCGTCAGATGATGGCGCGTCTTCGCGAGCTCATCCGCGGCAACAAGGCCTGCGACATGGAGCAGGGCGAGTGGGCGTACGAGGTCTGCAAACGTGCCGGCCTGTGTCACAACTGGTCCCCTTACGCCGAGGTTCGCGCCGTCACGTTGCCCTACGATGATGCCGACGAGGCCTGTGAGAGCTTCCGCGCCTATGTGCTGGGCTACTTTTGGGTTTGTGTCTGCACAGCGGTCAACACTTGTAAGTTGTCTTCCTACCTCCGAATTCCGAGGCCCAGGACATTCATTGTATGACACAAGACTAACAATGTATCTGAAAGTCTTTGCTCCTCGTCAGCCGGGCATATCGATCCCCGGCTCCGTCGTACAGCTCCTTCTGGTTCCAATGGGTCGGGGGATGGCCTGGCTGCTTCCAGACTGGGGCTTCAAGTTCCGCGGTACGCGCTACACGTTGAACCCCGGCCCTTGGACGAGCAAGGAGCAGCTGTTCGCGACCATCATCTTCACGGGTGCCTCAAGCATCGGCAATTTCACCGGTCTTCTCGTTCTTCGTATGCCCGTCTTCTTCAACCAGCGTTGGGCCGGCTTCGGCTTCAACCTCATGCTCGCGCTGGCGAACCAGGTATACGGCCTGGGTATGGCCGGTATCCTTCGCCGCCTAGCTGTCTATCCCATCGAAGCCGTGTGGCCCAAGACGCTGCCGACGCTCGCTCTCAATAGGACGCTCATCAACCAAGACAATAAGCGCGAAAAGGTCAACGGCTGGACCTTGTCACGCTACAGAATGTTCGTCTGGTGTGGCATCATCTTCACCATTTACTACTGGATCCCCAACCAATTCTTCGTCGGACTGCGTCTCTTCAACTGGATGACGTGGATCGCGCCGAACAACTTTAATCTCGCCACCATCACCGGGTCATACGGCGGCATGGGTTTCAACCCGATCTCGAGCTGGGATCCGAACGCGTCCGGCATCGATGCCATGACGGCCCCCTTCTTTGCCCAGTTGCAACAGTATGTGATGCGTGTCATCTCTGGCATCATTATCCTCATCATGTACTACAAGAACGCCTTTTGGGCCGCCTTCATGCCCATCAACTCGAATGCCGCCTTTGACAACACTGGCAGTGCCTACAACATTTCCATGGTCCTCGACGACAACCAGCGCCTCGACGTGGACAAGTACCAAGAGTACGGCCCACCGTACTATGCCATCGCCAACCTGTTCGTGACGGGCGCCAACTTCATTTACTACACCTTTTCCATTGTCTACGTCTTCACCAAGTACTGGCGCCCCATCAAGAAGGCGTTCGTCGGCATGGTCGTCAACACGGTGAAGCGCAGGAGCGTCTACACGGGCTTCACAGACGGCCACACGAGAATGATGCGCAAGTACAAAGAGGTGCCGGAATGGTGGTACGGCTGCGTCTTTGCCTTTGGCTTCATCGTCTCCATCGTCAGCCTCACGGCCTGGCCGACGCAGACCCCGTGGTGGTCGATCCTTGGCGTGACAGCCATTGGTGCCCTGCTGACCATCCCCTGGGTTGTCATCGAGTCCATCGCCAGCACCGGCATCCAGCTCAACGTCATTTGGCAAGTCTTGCCCGGCGTCTGGTTCCCCGGCCAGCCGCTGCCGCAGCTCATCATCCTCATGCTAGGCGCCGCCTTTGAGCAGATGGCAGGCAGCTTCAGCGGCGACCTCAAGTACGCGCATTACGCCGGCATACCCCCACGTGCGGTGTTTCGCGGCCACGTCTCGTCCGTCGTCGTCAACTGCTTCATCTACTGCGCCATCCTCGAGCTTCTCATGCTCTACGCCAACGAGGACAGCAGCTTCTGCACCTGGGACAACAGGCAGTACATGGTCTGCGCCTACGCCCACTCCATCTGGTCCTCGACCATCCTCTTCGGCGCCTTTGGCACCAACAACATGTTCAAGCTCTACCCCGTCCTGCCGTGGTGCTTCCTCATCGGCGCCCTCCTCGGCGTCGCCTGGATCGTCAGCGAGAGAACCCTGCCACTCCTGCGCGCCCGCCTCCAGCGCCGCGTCGAGCCCGAGCCCTTTGCCCGCTTCGACCGCTACTTCTGGGCGCCCGCCTCCTCCGTCATGGCCTGCCTCAACCCGGCCATCGCCCTCTCGGGCGCCCTCAGCTGGGCCGGCAACAACAACCTCACGTACGCGACGCTCGGCATCTACATTGCCTGGTTCTTCCAGTTCTACCTCAAGCGACGCTACACGGCCTGGTGGGGCAAGTATGCCTACCTCATCTTCGCCGGTCTCAGCGTCGGTGTCGCCGTGTCGGGCCTCGTCGTCACGCTCGTCTTCTCCTTTGGGGCTGGCCAGGGGTATCAATTCGCCTGGTGGGGGAACGAGGTGCCGCGCGCCGGCGTCGACTTTCAACTCTACAACAATAACGCCTCGCTGAAGGCGCTGCCTGAGGAGGGGTATTTCGGGTTGCGTCCTGAGCAGTATCCTCTGAATTGGTAGGGGATTTGCGGCTCTGTCGGCGGCAGGGCGCACATGAAAGGGCAGGTTTGGTATGGGTTTTGGTTCGTAGGCATTGATGGTGATGATGTTTACAAGCCAACATGGGCTTATTAGCATTAGAAATAGATGCTTGGATGGTTGCTTTGGGTATATCTAGTCTCCTCGTGTAGTTGTGCCATCCCACACCAACCAACCCACCGTGGCTGAAGTTCATCGTCAACACAACTGTTCACGACCAACTTCCATCAGCCCTTTGATAGGAATCATCCGATTTCCACATCGAACCCGCCCCGCTGGACTCGGTCCCCGTGGTCGGAGGATCCGACGTGCGCTTCGCCTCCTCATGCCGTCGGTCCTGCGTGTTCTCCCTCATCTCGATATCTCGTGAACTCCGCACAGAACCGCGACTGGCCGTTCGGTGGGACGGCGCCGGCGCCGTCCACGTCTGCGTCGAATCGAGCGTAAAATGCGCGTGGCCCCGCGTCTCCGCAACCTCGACATGCGCTCCGCTCCGCCAGCGGCGCAGGTTCGCTCGGCCGCCGAGCAGCGGCCGCAAGACGGGGATGCAGAGGCACACCATGGCGCACGTAATCTCGCCTACGGACCAGTAGACGGTCTTGGCCATGACCCAGCTGGCGTCGGTGTCAAAGAGGCCGCGGTGGACGGTGCTGATGCGGATGGCCGAGATGATGCAGGTGCTGTGGACGAGAGAGAACGACGGTCAGTACTGGTGAGCCAGGAGACATCCCAAGTCGGGGTCTGGTATCCTGGGGTGCCATGGTTTGACTCACATGAATCCCAGGCAGAAGACGGCGGTGAGCGTGATCTTTTGGGGCTTCGTCAAGGGCAGCGTCTTGATCAGGGGGAGCGGCATGGCAAAGATGACTACGTCGGTGATGACGTGGATGATGCCGTGGGCTAGCCACACCTGCCATCGCGAGGAGCAAAAGTTCTGTCCGATGATTTCCGGATCCCACTGGCTCCTGACTGGCAGGCAGATCACGATCGGTGCGATGAAAAAGGCCACGAACCAGCACGCTATGAACCCGAGGAATATGTCGCATATACGCTGGAAAGCCGGCAGAGGAAATGCGCGGCGGTATTGGAGGATAAATGCGCACTTCAGGATGATAATCGTGAGGTGGTATCCCAGGCCAGAGAACCACATGAGCTATTGGGTTGCCATGTCAGATCATGAGTAGGGTGTTCAGCGTGAGCTCGAGCGGGAACAGCCGAGCTCCGCCGTCAAGGGAATCGTATTCGCAAAGAAGGGACTGACAGTGAGTAATACGGATAGGTGCGAATCGGAAACATCGACGACGTGACGGCCGAGGCCAAACGCGATGGCTGTCCGATCAAGGTCAGCACAGCCGTTCTAGGCTTGGAAGCGAACTCGTCTTCAAACGTACCGATAGCGACGCCAATGACACTTCCCAGCAGCATCAACTAAGCAAGCAAGCCTGTCAGTCGGCAATGTCACGACACATAAATCACTGCGTACACAGAGAAGGCATAACGAACCATCGTAGCAGCTACGGCCCAGTCATCGTTGCCAAGATTTCGAATAATATGTACGCGGACGTAGAAGCGCAAGGTGACGACTGTGAGGCATATGCAACTCATTACGACCATGTAAGCGATCAGGCTCGCCGTCATATCGCCCTGTGCTCGGCGCACAAGGTCGTGAGCCCCCGGAGTTTCCATTTTGGCAGCTCTCTAAGACGCATTCTGATCTGTTACTCTGCTATCTTCGGAGTCAGGGTTGCAGGGTGTTGTCGGACTCGTGGGCGCCCCCCCGTGCAGCGTTGCTGAGGCTCGTGATGCCCAGATCAGGCGAATCGATCAAGAGATGTTGGTGATGGCATCGAAGTTGCGAGAGCTGAGCAGGTAGGGACAGGTATATCGGTAGGCGCGGCAGGGGGGTGCCAAGCTCTATACTATTTCTCCTCTAGATGTTCAGGCAACGCCATGACGACCGCCTGGGACTCCGTGAACCCAAATAGTTCATGACGTAGCGCACCTCGCTGAACCAGATGTGGCGGCAGTAGGCATGGGATTTATACGGAAAATGCAGGGCGTAGTCCTCTCCACATTTCAGAGTTCGGCGGCTTCGGTTCTTGGGTCTTTGTGGTGTTTTGCAGCACGCTTTGGCGATCAAAGCGTCGCCTTCTTGGGCGAAGGAGCGCCAAGTGGCGGGCTAGTGGTGTGTGCCGTTTCCAACTAACAGGTAGCCGGGAGGATGGATGAAGTTGCGAGCACAAGTGTCCGCCATGGTTCGCGCGTTCCAAAGAAGGTGATACAAAACTTAGGAGATACTACCGAGAAATGAAACGGAGTGGCCTCATTGGGGGAATTGATCGACCAGTGTTATCACACAGCACATCCTAAAAGGCGGTGCGTGTTGCATGTGCTACGGCCTCGAATCTCGAATGTGCCGCCCGCTCCCCTTTGGCGACTGTGCGCTTCTGGCTCGAGCTAAGTGAGGATCGTGATGGAGTTTAGAGGGCTGTCTGAAGCCAACATGGCGGTGGCGTCTCAGTGGCCAACCATGCGCCTTGTGATGATCCAGCGCCCACAGGCCACATTCCTCCGCACACGGCACACGGGCCGTCCAGGGGAGCATGCTTGGCAGAGGAAATGGATTTGCCTGGACTAGACGTAAGGGTTGAGCCTGACCTGCGTGGTGCGCATGGTGATCCCCTGAATTGACAGAGCGTGACAGTGGCCATCGTTCAGACCGGTTACGATGTTCCGAGTGACCTACAGCGTGTTCATCACAGTCTGGCGACGGCGACCAGAGATACTATCTGCACGTTCTGGTGCCGTATGGAATAGACAGGCGTAAGTATGTCTATCGAAACTAGACTCGGCTGGTTGCCCTACTCGTTCAATATCTTGCTGTGTCACAAAATGACCGATGTCCTGGACCCTTCCATCTTCGCCCATTCATATTCTTTCTGATGTCTGGCTGTGCTTGGTCCCCCCCTCCTCCGGCGGTTGAGCCTTAGTAGTCTTGCTGATATCCTTATGTTCTAACTACCTTTATAGGACCTTTCTGGAAGACGCCCCCCTGACTTTGTTTTGGAGGACTTTGAATCCTCAAGATTGGTTGTGGAGGTTGTCCACTTCGTGTCGACATCGTCAAAGAAGCCTTCTTTCCTAGCTCATGCCTTGACACGGCATTGGACGAACGGGTGCGAGTCGTCGTTGGGTTGGTGGGCCTTCGGAGGTGAAGCTAGGTCGACACGGCTAGGCCGCCCTTGTGACTCGAGGGTTGCGTCCATCACTCGACCCTCACTGCAGTTGATGGTCGAGATTCAACAGCCAATTTCACCGTTACCCCAGGTTTGAACATGCACAACGAACTGCTAGTCAAGTCAGGCGTGGTCAGGTTGCCTTACCTACCCCTCCATCCGGCAGTTCTCGAGCTCAAGGGTCAATCGGAACACGATGCACGGGCAGTCCAGATCGTTTGCTGATCCACCATGCGCATAGTCTAGAGGCTTGCCATGTGAAGTGGGCCCGGCGATGTTGCAAGTCTGGCTTGAAGCATTGTAATAAAGGTCCCTGGCCACTCTGTTGAGCTACTGGCCGTTCCCGTTCCCAATCAACTGGAAAGGGGAACTATCAGACGGGTCTGCAATCGAAATCACCCACACACATTCCAGTGTCAATTCTCAGTGTCGAGCTAGCCGTAACCATGTGGGGGACGAGTGGATGTTTCCGAAATAAGGTCCCTTGTCTTAGATAAAAATCGATGCGCCGCGTCCTATCGCAAAATATCATGAGCCTAGACACAACATGAGGCTCATTCCCGAGCCCCATCTACTCTTCTCCAAGAAAGCGAAAAGACGGCCGTTCTACCAGAGATGAAAGCCAAAAAGGATATGAAAATAGCAAGACAACGGTCTATCCTGTAAACAGGCTTGTCGCCGTTGCTGCCATGTCGTGATCTACGGCATTTCCGTCGACTGACTCGGAGCCACGCGTGCTTCTTCCCCACCATGAGGCGAAAGACGGGGCCGCCGATTGCGTGCCGATAGAACCGGTCTATCGATGGTATCATCCAGCGAAAATTTCCTGTACGTATAAGATCAAAGTGAGACGGCTCAGTCGCACCGTCTCACAGCTCATCGTCCACTCCCCGAACACGGCATCGACCTCCTTCTCGACCCAGACCATGGCGACCAAAGACGTTATCTCGCCCAACGACGATGTTGAGGTTGCGACCAACTACTCCAAGACGGGAGACCAGGACGCTGACCACAATGGCGATTTGCTGACGTCGGCTGAGGAGCGCGACCTGCGACGCGGCCTCGAGCAGCGACACTTGTCGATGCTGGGAATCGCCGGTGCCATCGGCACGGGACTCTTCCTCGGCCTCGGTGGAGCCATCCAGACGGGCGGTCCCCTCGGCGCGCTTCTTGGCTATGCCACCATCGGTTGTGTTGTGTTTGCCGTTCAATTCGCCCTCGGAGAGGTAGCAGCCCTTCTGCCGGTCACCGGTGCCTTTGTACGACATGCCGAGTTCCTCGTCGACCCGGCCTGGGGCTTCGCCATCGGATGGAACCTCGTCTACGGCAACCTCTTGTCCATCCCGGCCGAGATCACGGCCATTTGCGTCTTGTTCCAGTTCTGGACCGACGTCAACTCGACCGTTTGGATCGTCACCTTCATCCTGCTGACGTTCCTCGTGGGCATCGCCTTTGTGCGCGTCTTCGGTGAGGTCGAGTTCGTCTTCGCGCTGCTCAAGATCGCCCTCGTCATCTTCCTTATCATCCTCGGTCTCGTCATCGACCTCGGCGGCGTGCCCGGCACCGAGCGGATCGGCTTCCGCTACTGGAACGACCCGGGGCCCTTTGTCGAGTACATCGGCAAGGGCGACTGGGGCAAGTTCCTCGGCTACTGGAGCGTCATGTCGACGGCCGTCTTCTCCTTTGCCGGCACCGAGTCGATCGCCATGGCGGCGGCCGAGACGCGCAACCCGCGCCGCGCCATCCCGCGCGCCTGCAAGCGCGTCTTCATCCGCATCGTCCTCTTCTACCTGCTCGCCGTGCTCGTCGTCGGCATGCTCGTGCCCAGCAACGACCCGCGCCTCGACGACGCCTACGGCACCGCCGCCCAGAGCCCCTTTGTCATCGCCGCCTCGGCCGCCGGCATCCGGGCCATCCCGAGCGTCGTCAACGCCGTCGTCATCACCTCGGCCTGGTCGGCCTCCAACCAGAGCCTGCTCTCCGGCACCCGCGTGCTGTACAGCCTCGCCCTCAAGGGCCAGGCCCCCCGGGTCTTCCTGCGCACCACCTCCTGGGGCACGCCCTACGTCTGCGTCCTGCTGTTCACGGCCTTCATGTTCCTCAGCTTCATGAGCCTGTCCAACGGCGCCATGACCGTCTTCTGGTGGTTCGTCGACCTGACCTCGGCCGGTGTCCTCGTGTCCTGGTCTAGCATCCTGTTCAACCACATCCGCCTCAAGCTCGCCATGAAGAGGCAGAACATCCCCGCCGAGAAGCTCCCCTGGCACAACGCATGGACCTGTACGCAGCCCTCCCCCTCCCTCTCTGTCGCCATGGCGTCCCCAAGAGATAGATAGCTGACCAGACACACAACACAGTCTACACATCGTGCGCCGCGCTCGTCATGTGCCTCACCATTCTCTTCACGAGCGGATTCTCCGTCTTCACCAAGGGAAACTGGGACACGGCCGGCTTCATCTCCTCGTACCTGTAAGCACCCCTGACTCGAGTTCCCCCCCCCTTTTCCCTCCCGGGGATGTCTGACTAACAGCCTGCAGGGATATCCCGCTCGTCACCGGAGCCTACCTCCTCTGGAAGGTGCTCAAGAAGACGCGGTTCGTGTCGCTCGACAGCGTGCCCCTGGATTCGGCCTTTGAGCAGGTGGACCTGAACCCAGAGGAGCCCGAGGTTGAGGAAAAGGGCTGGATCAGGGCTGTCAGCTGGATCTGGAACTAAGAAGGAGAGGTTTTGATGAGCGCGCGCCATATGCTTGAATAGCGATCAATTGATTTTACGTTTTCCATGCAAGGATCCTTCGTTTGATAGCGCCCAATTGGATTGCAAAAATGGAGGCTCGCCGCCATTCATATAACGGACGGGTCAACATGCTCCAGATGAGAAGCCATATATGCAACCTGCATTCATTCATTCACGATCTCTTGACGGCCCTGAGGACAAAAAGTGATTCAGGGGAGGCTCGAACTCCCGACCTTCAGTGAACTCGACTCTTGTCTGAGAAGATGTTAGACTGACGTGATAAACCAACTACACCACCGAACCGGTTGAAATCAGGCAAATGTTGCGGGAATTATGACTGCAGAGGGTGTGTGTGGGGACAAGCCTAGATAGAGTAGCTCCGAGATTTTTTGTTGGCGCCTCAGTCCCGAGGCCGAAGAGGCAGATGGCCAAAATGCAACCATGCATGGTAGGTCTGGCTTCTGTCGCAAGATCGATTACCACAAACTGTCATGGTATGGAAAGAAGGCTCTTTTTGGCCTCGAGATATCATCTCCGAATCCGGGATTTGTGGCTTCCAACAGCCTAGCTAGTCAATTTACACTACACTCTAAGTTCTCACATACAATATCTTCGCCGCAACGCCAAACTGCCCTCAAATCCGGAGGGGCTTGCATGCTTGAGCCGACGCAGCTCGTTTCGTTTCAAAAAAACGGTGTACAGAATCCGAACAAACACAGCCTCATGCTGCGGACAGAGCTGTCTCCCCGGCCATCTCGCATTGCCCCACGAAGCGCTCGCCCTCCGCGTCTTATCCTGTACTTGGTACGAACAGGGAGACCCAAAGGTTCACCATTCTGGCCAACAAGCCCAGGCCCACGCATTGCCATGCCTCTCTTCTCGTCCATGCATGGCGCCACAGCTGCATGGCCTTTTAAGTTTGAGGGATCTGTCAACCGCCGTCCGCTATTAGGTGCAGTGGAGCCACGTTGGCCATTCCACAGCCGTACCCCATCGTTCGAATGATATCGCATAATTACAAGTCGTACAAGCGTAGTTGGAGAGGGGTGAAGAGAGCGCGCCCTAGCGCTCAGTGCGTCGGGAGGAGCCGACGGCTCGTCCTTGATGCGTGAACGTCAAATACGAGTGGCGGTGCTGGGCGCCTGGTTGAACACGGCGAGCATTGAAGCGGTTCAAGAGTCCTCTACCTCTCCTCGCCACCTCTCGCCTTGCCACGCCGCCGGAAGAAGTCCATGACCCGTTTGGCCGCACCACTGCTGCCCTCGTGGCCATGATGGTAGTTGTCTTGATCGTAGGCGTCGGTAAACTTCTTATTGGGCTTCTGCAAGAAGCCGCGGTTGTTTCTTGCGCCGAGGGGCTTGCGCCCGTCATAGCCGTCTGACTCGGAAAAGCCACCCGCTTGGTACGGCACGCTGCCCTGTCTGCGATGCTGCTGGCTCTCTAGAGAAGAGTCAGAGCCCGTGTTGAGCACCGATCCTTGCTGCTGCTGCTGCTGCTGCATGTGCGGAGGAATGGCATTGGCCTGGCGAGTGTGTTGTGAAGAAACACGAGGTTGGTACGATTGCTGCTGCAGCATCGGCTCCGAGTGGGAATGCGGCTGCTCGTGATTGCGCTGGTAACTTGAGTCGTACTCGGCGCCATCAAAGTAAGCGGCCTGGCCACGAGACTGTACTGGTCGATCGCCGTATCTCCTTTGGTCGTCCATCTCGGCAGGGTCCTGGATAGGAAGGTCTTGTTGAGACATCTGAGAGTCGGGCGGGGGGCTTCCAGAGTCTTTGTTGATGCCCATCGCCCTAGAAAATGACTGCGGAAGCAGCGAGAATCGTCGAGGGTTCTGAGGCTTCTCCAGGGATGTATGAGAACCGCTGATGCTACCGCTGCGCTTCTTACCGAACCCCAAGGAGAAGGACCGGCGCGAGGCTCTCGAATCTATCGAGGCTCGGGGTTCACCACTGCCAGGTATGTTGTTGGGCATGCTGACGGGCGGGTACTTCCTCGATTTATCCTCGCTCGGGTGCTCAGACCGCCTCTTGTTCTTACCACCAAACATGGATCCATTGCGTCCGAGGAGCTTGGAGCCAATATCTGTGAGAGTGCTGGATCGTCGGTGACCCCTGCCTTCACTGGTCGGCGAAGGACCAGGCTTCTCACTGCCATGCTCAAAACCAGAGACGCGGGCGAACTTGGGGGGGACGGCACTGACGCTGGGGTGTCCCATGGTCTGCGCTTCGTGTGCGTTGGGCTGCTGGATGCTGCCATGCACGTTTGTGCCCGCAACCGATGGAGGGATTGGCTGGCCATACGAGGCGCGAGCACCACTGCCAAGTCCCATGGACCCTGACGAAGTCATGGATCCTCCCGTCTGCGGTCGCCCGCCGGTCGTCATATAAACATTGTCGGACGTGGAACGGGTATCGCGACCAGGCCTCGTAGTTGCTGGTACGTTGTTGCGATAAGCACTCGGGGGCCTTGTGTTCTGTCGGCTCGACTTGGAATAACTGTCCTTCGAGACTGGTGGGTCGCGTGGAAGAGGTTTATCCTTCGGGCTATTGTTGACTTCGACAGGCCCTTGGCTGCTTGAACGAGCTCTCGACTTGCCTCGGCCGGGAGATTGCGCGGCAGCTTCTCCGCGCTGCGTTTGTGTGGTCGGTGCAACGTACTCGACCTGAACGGTGCGACGCTTCGAATCCTTGGCTTGGGTCGGTTTCGCGCTGGCGTTTTCGGCTTCGGGGTCGATATTGCCATGTTTGGAGGCCAGGCCTCCCACCGACGTGGGGCCGGATGCTTTGGAAGATCTTGAAGGCTCGCGGACAGATGCGCTACGCGCGACCATGGGCTTGTCGTCCTCCGCCGGAACAGTTGTGTTCTGGATCTCGCCGGGCGTCGTGGTGCTGCTGGTGATGAACTCCACAACGTGAGCGTATTCGCTGAGCCAGCTGTGCCGCGCCACCTCGAATAGATCCGCTCGCTTTCTAGGGTTGGGGACTAGGATTCGTCGGAGCAGGTCGCGGGCATGCGGCGTGACGTATTCGGGGAAGGTTAGAGGCGTGTTGACGATATACTTGTACAACAGATTGATGTTGTCGCCTTCGGGGTTGGCAGGGTCGTCGTCAAAGGGCAGGTATCCAGCCAGCATGGCGTACTGCATTCTTGTTAGCAAGTAGGCGCAACATTGTTCCGGCGACACTTACAAGGATCACACCGCAGCTCCAGACATCAACCTTGCGTCCCGTATATAGGGAATCGCTGACAACCAACTCGGGAGCTGCGTAACAAGGACTGCCGCAACTTGTCTGCATCAAATCACCCTTCCTCGTGCCATTGGCTTTGACCTTGTCTAGGCCAGCTCTCTTGACGAATTCCCTATCGCTCAGATTAAGCTCTTCTTCTTGGTTCAATTCCTCCTCGGCATCAAATGTGTTGGCAAATCCAAAGTCGGTGATGATAATGTTTCGGTTCCTGTCGAGCAGCAGATTCTCGAGCTTGAGGTCTCGGTGGACAATGCCCTTCTTATGGAGATAGCCAACGCCCGAGACGAGCTGAGCGAACAGTCTCCTAGCGGCGTTGTCTTTCAGGTAGCGATGGTTCAGGATGTAGTCGAATAACTCTCCTCCAGAGGCATACTCCAGAATGATGCCGATATGTCGCTCAGTCTCGACCATTTCGTGCAGGCGAACAATGTTGGGGTGCGAGATGCCGCGGAGGATGGCAATTTCACGATAAATCTTGGCCAGCCTGGAGGGGTTGTTGCCCACATTGTCTCGCTTGATCAGCTTGATAGCAACCTGTGGCATGGTTAGTGAAGGAACGTATAGACGAGAGAA